GAGAGAGAGAGAGAGAGAGAGAGAGAGAGAGAGAGAGAGTCTCGTGACATCACGGTATAGTAAAAACGTCTATAATCAATATGAAAATCATTTGTATAATTATTTTTAAAGACCATCGTTGACTGCCCTTGCATGGTGACCGTCTCAGTAACACTGTTGATCCCTGGTTTAAACGGCCCTGATCATTCCCCCAGAATTGTCGTCGTCCCTGAGATGTAACCTGTTGCGACGCACGCACCCTTTCCTGTCTCATCTTCATGCTCGATATCCATCCTCTCTTCCGTCTTCCGTCCCTATAAGGATCTCTGTCTCCCACCTCCCTCCCTCTCTCTCTCTCTCTCTCTCTCTCTCTCTCTCTGCATCCTTCGGTGGCGAAATCGGCCGCCCACCACCCCCAGTCCCCAGTACTACCCCCAGCTACCAGCTACGCTCAACAGCGAATCGTTTTCTGGTGGTGCACGAGCCCTGGCAATGGTCGGGCGCGTATAAAGTCAGTCGGGCTAGCCCAGTATCGCGGTACAGTGTGTGATACCCAGTAACACACATCCATATCAGGTCGTGATAGACGTATCAAGAACGGAATCAAAGATATCTCGTATTTTCGTTACGCGAGAGTGCTTGAATAAATTGTGACTGGGTGGTAATTGTAACCGATTGTAACGCGATCGTTGTACAACTAATAGTGTATCGAGATTTCAACGAGAGTAAAAATACAAATAATATTACTTAAATATTACTGCGCGTCATGAAACCGAAGTTGTTCGCCTATTTGTTACTACTCGGGCGACTGACAAATGAATCGTGTCAGCATGGCGTCTAACTAATCGTAATTTGCTATTCGGTTCAGATATTTATTTCGTTCTTAATAGAAAGAGAGAGAGAGATCAAATTGGCAGTGACGTAAAATTAATTGGATCAGACTACGAGTAGAGTAACGAGCTGCGGCCGTGCACGACCACTGAACCGTAATGAAATCAGATATTCCTTTATTCAGTTTTATACGCGATTAATAGAGAATAATGATTGTGAAGAGCAAAGCAAGAATTATGTTGAAATCTTATTGAACAAGATAAATTTATAGAGTAGGACAAAAATGGATAAATACAAAAAAATAATGGTAATATCATATTTGAGAAATTTAAATCCAAACTACAAATAATGATAGTATAATTTAATTGTTATCTGGCTTGGATTAATTTCCTCAATTTTATCACCAGATAACGACAATATATAATTCTATCGAGAAATCTAAGTAGATACGTCAATAAGAATAAAATCAATTTTAGTTGATTAGAAGAATTATCGAGTAATATGTGAGTCTGCACTGCCTATTTGGTTTTCATAGTATTTATTAAAACTTAGTTTTTTTTTATTAAATGCTTTATACTACAAAGATCTTCATGACGAGCAAATCTAGTAATTGACGTGACATTCAAAAAAATTAGGACAGCGCGCAAGAGAGATCTAATAATATTAATAATTTCTTCAAAATAATGTTCTAAAATAAGAACAAAAAAATAAATTTTGAATAAACTATTTAGTACTTGGTGACGTGTTAACAACTTAAATTTCAGAATAATTCTTTACATAGAAAATTTTTATGTGCTTTAAATTAAATTCAATGATATGTAAATGTAAGTTATGTAAAATTAATATTCGATCATTTTCAGAACATATAGCTGTGTTCAATAAACGTTGTATGTATATTACAGAATTACCATTACACAAACCTACAAAAAATATTATGTTTTTGACTTAGAAACGGCAATGTGTAATCATAAATAATGAAGGGCACACTAAAAATAAATTCGTAGCCTAAATTGCTCTATTATATAAAATTTCTAAAATATTTTAACTTTAAGATTTCAAAAAAGTCTCTTTTGAATAAGTTCGAATATCTCGTAAATCTGTTTCATGCTGAAGTCAAATCCGCAATCCATATTTCTCTTTCACATTAGGTTTACGCGAGATATTCTAAAAATGCCCGAAATAGGCCTTCTCTTGAAACTATAAAGTTAGAACTCGTAAACTTAACGTAATGAAGCAATTTGGGCTACGGATTTGTTTTTAGTATGTTAAAAATTTGGTGATTGCGTACTGCTGTTTCTGGGTCAAAACTCATGTCGGGTTGTGTTATTTACTCAATATCAAAGTAGTAATTATATTAGTTTATACAATTTTAATAGCATATGTTAATCATTCAAATTTTCCAATTTATAAGCTAAATGGATTATTATGAACCATCTAATACTTTTCTTTAAAAAATCTAATATTCATATTAAAAGCATGAACTTGTATTTTTAAAAATATACGTGTCTCTAATTTAATTTTTCGCAAGTCAAGAAAAATCTGAACTAATCGTATAAATGTATATCGATTGATAATGAAAGTATTATATACCTACTATGTCGGGGCTATATCTGAATCGGACGTAAAGTAACGAGATAATTAATCAACCGCAAAGGTACAATATCGTGACGCAACTGATTTATTTAACGAAAGCGAATTATGCTGTAGGCAAATGCATTTTTATTATTTCAAATCGTTAATTAATGTAACTGATTTTATTGACAGTGAACAAAATGACAAACTGCGAAATATTGAAAATACTATTTGTCGATGCAAGATTATTTTTAAGTATTATATACATGCAAGATTATTAATCGAATCAATTATCACAAATTCTAATAACAAATATAACGTGTTAAATATATTTAATTGTTTCCTATCTTTAATAACTTACCTTGACGTTTGATCAATCTACTTGATAGATTCTTCTTTCAGCTTGTAACATTTATAATATTATAATAAAAGCTTTAGAGGGGTGAGCGGAGGGTATTAATAGCACTTCTACTAAAAGCTTTTATACTATTAATTTATGTGAAAATTTACTTGCGTTAATAGTTGAGTGAGTAAATAAATATTGATTTTCATTAAAAAGGACAGAGAGATTCATGTGCGGATTTCTATGAAATTGTTATTTTAAGTCGACATAAATTCGAATTGTTTCCTAATCGTTCGTTCGGAAAACTGGCGTCACTTTCCAAATACTCGGAACGAATGTAAACTCTTGTGTTTGTTCGAGAATCGTGCAAGGTACTTCGGAATTGATTACTAAAGTAGTGGAATCGCATTCAAGTGTTAAGCGCAAGTGATCACAAAAGTTTCACGATTACAGGTACAAACAAAAGCAGTATATAATATGTTGATCAGATGTAGGTCACTGACATCTTTTTGTTAATTATCCCGGGAGAGATTTTGCTGTGTTAAATTGAAAATTGCGCGTATCAATCGAGGAAACAATAGAGGACGTACAGTAAATCAAGAATCAAGTCAGCAGACTCTCATAACTTCCTTGAACTCAGACAGTTTTACACACATTCGTCAAAGTGCCGGACAAATTGTCAGAGGTTCTGGGTGATGTCCTGGAATTATGCGGCGGATGCGGAAGCAGCGATGATAGTGCTGCAACTGGCGATAAAAACATGTCAGACAAAAAGAAAGCATCGAGCGGAAGCGCGGCTACTAAGATCGGCGCAATGACAGGAATAGCGATGATTAAGGGTAAATGGGTCCCAAAAGGCAGGCGATGGCAGCTCATTGCTAATACCGATAGTGGCGACAGTACAACTTCGACCAGTTTGGAGGTATACAGTTGTATATTTTAGAATTGTAGAAAATGTTAAATATTTGTTAATGACTTTTCCTGGCAAAAATAAAGATCAAAACTTTAAGTCAATGCGGGGATGAGCAGTATTTGAAATAGATGTTTTTAATAAAATACGTATTTAAATATATTTTGTGTTTGTATTTTACATTTAAATACTTTTTTAAATATTTAAATATTTGTATTTTAAATTTCATTTATAAAAACCTTCATTTAAATTATGTAAATTTTTATATGAATGTTAAAAACGCACCATTGTTGACTCAATCTAACATTGTATCTCAACATTCACTTCTCATTAAAAGCTCAAACAGCATAGGTGAAAAAATATCAATAAATAAAAATACAGAGCTTCGTTTATAATCAAAGAAATGGAGAATATGAAACAGTGAATAAGAATTTCAACTTATTATAAACTATGAAATTCCACAGCACATGATGCAGTTTTTAACGTTTTTCGCTCATCCCTGATGCATTAGATAATTTTAAATAGGAAAATAGTATTTTGTCATTTTATATTTTGTATTTAAATATTTGTTTAAAAAGTATATTATATAAACATTTAAATACAATTTAGAAAGTATTTCGTATTTTGTCATTAAATTTAAATTTTTATATTTTTACCCATCTTTGATCAAATGTAAGAGTGACGTGTTTTAAAAAATTACATTTTATTCTAATTTATATATTTGAAAAGTTTCGTTTATACTTGCATAAGTTTCCTTTCTATCCAGTTTACGTGCGCGTTTCAATTTTATTTTCTTCAAGATAATAAAAGACACTATATTTTGTATTTTTAATAAATTTTTCTAGGGTATTTACATATATCTATATTTCATATTTTCTATTTTATATGAAAAATACATTTTCATTATACCATACTCAATTAATTTATATTTACATATTTATTACCTGAAATCTTTGTTATTTTTAATAAATAAATAGTTTTCAAGAATTAAAAATTAAGTAAAAAAAACACTTTAATTTCAAACAAGCTATACTTCAGATTCAAAAAAATATCTAGAAAATTGAGTTCTTCTTTATATTTTTTTAATTTTGTTTAAAACAAAAATCACAAAAAGTGTCACATTAGATTATTCACGAAAACTTTAGACGCACACGATAGTGCTATGTACCCTCAACACTTCGGAAATCTGAATGCACTTGTTGCGTCTTAGTACGGACTTCGGTATGCCACTTTACACTTTACTGTTTCCTTGTATTTCGCGACGATTTTACGTCGCACGTGCAACTAATTTTACATGAATATATCATAATTATAATTGCTCTTTATTTTGCAAGTAATGTTACCTTTTTGATATGCAATTTTATAATATTTTATTTTCAGGAACATTTGACTTTGATAATATTTATAAAGAATATTGAAACTTGAAAAAATACGGGGATTGGAATTTATAAAAAATCATGTGTGTGTGAAAAAATAAAATTCTGAAATAAAACTTACATAAGTTTATCGAGATATTAATCATATGTAATGGAATCACTAGAAGTAAATTGAATTTTAAAACTCCTTATAGAAAGAGTATAACTATTACTGGCGTTGGTTTACCCAAAAGACAGTTTTGACTATAAGTGCAAATTTGGAATTCTTATATACAACGTCTAAATGACATTTCAAAGACACTTTTGTGAGAACTGTCTAAAAGACACATAAAAATAGCCTTATGAGATCGAATTTTGTATTGTATTATTTGATAGATTACTGGCTTGTTAGTAAAATATAGATAATAGAATAAATTAGAACATAAAAATTTAGAAATATTAACGTAATATATGTAAATATATTCAAATGAAAGTTAACGTGTATTTATGTCCAAATAATTTAATAAATATAATGATTTGTAAATTTAAAAAAAAACTATTTTTTTAAATAGATAATATATCAATAAAAATAAATAAATAATTTTTATAGAAACAATTTTTAATGTTAAAAAAAATTAGTAAAAAAATTATACATATAGAAACGAAAAAAAATTATACAGAAGTAATAACTTAAAAGTAAATCTTTTTATAAGAACAACTTTTACAGCGGTATAATATATAATTGATCAAGCATACAAAGTAATTTTTCGTTTCTACGTTTAATTTGATTATAGAAATTTAATTAAATTTCGATGTTGAAAAAACATTTCTTGTTTTATATGTATGAAATCATATAATTTTAAATGAAATACTTTGCAAGCAAATTTAATACTAAAAAATTTATCTTTCGAAGAAGCGTCTTTTTTAACTTGCATTATTACATATTTTAAAATATTTAATAGTACATAACTTTAATTATCCATAATTAAATTTGAATTTATAAAATTAATAGATTTAAGAATAATAAAAACGATTTATTATTAATATAGATTTAAATCTAATTTTTGCACGTTTTTCGCACCCTCATTGTATCGCTTTTCTTTTACTGCAATTTGCACTTATTTTAATCATGATTATACTATATTCTGCCTTTAGTATTCATGGAAGATGATATATTTTTCAAGTGAACATATTTTACTCCCTGCTTCACCCTGTGTGAGCTCATCGTTCGCTCTCGACTATTCTACGCGTCTCTTACGTATATATGGGGCTTCATTCCAGATATGGAATGTTTTATCTACTACAAGGAACTTTGTTCCAGTATGCTATGTAGCCGTCAACACTGTGTCGGACAAAATTTGCATGATAAAAGGCAGTTCATTTTTCTACCATGAGGCAAAAATTAAAGCGAACGTCGTAACAAAAAAAGTTTTGTGGGGAGAAAAAGAAAGAAAATTTTATATTATGCATATATGAATTTTTAATATCGTAATTTTACAATTTCACGTTTCTTCGTACACGTATGTATTGTCGAGACAACTTTAATTTGCATAAAACGATTAATGTTATTATGACAGTTTTACTTAAATTTTATCGGCGTTTTTGTTTTTTTACCTCGTTTTGATATTTATTCAAAATCTATATGCGTGTAATTATAGGTGTATACAGGGAAAAGCAGAAGAGGCGCTTATTCCCCTAAATTTGGGCAAGAAAAAATATTAAATTATGAAAATCATTGGCTATGTTTAGCAGAAGTAGCAGTTTTGCAATTGTTGTAAAATTCTTCAATATGGTTTATACATTTCAATCCAGTAAAGAATTAAGAAAAGGTCACTGATAATTCTTTACTTATTGTTAGATTTTTTTAATTGCTTCACACTGAAGCATCGATATTTCAAGATAATAAAAGGGTATAGTGCAAATAATGAAAAAGATAGGAAATTGCCGACTTTTTCATTATTTGCACTATACCCTTTTATTATGTTGAATATAACATTAAAAGATTTAAAAAGAAAGCATTTTTTTCTAATTATCTCATAATTAGAATAGTTTTTTTTTTTTTACAAAAAGTTATGGTAGATATATTTTGAGTTATAGTATATTTTCTAGAGGGAAAATTTAAAAAAAGGATTTGAAATTAAAACAGAAATGTAAAAAAAAAGCCGAAACTGTCTTCCTAGCGATAAAACGTGCCTTATATAAGTATATCCTTAGTCTAACTGTGCACAACGAGCATCATTAAAAGATCTTTTACTACATTGCAAAAAATGAAAACCTGATTGCAAGCAACAATGTTGGAAAATCACCCTCATAAATTAAGCATAGAAAAACGGTATTTGCGAAGAAAAAGAGAGAAGCTGGAAGAAGAAATATTAAGAAATTTTGTTGAAATATCCTTAAAAACGATTTCTAAATAAGTATAGTTTAATAAATTTTATGTGAAGATAAAAATTTCACCTTCTCCCCTCCCTCGACTGAAATTCTGCGTACATTCATGCATGTAGCTAATGTTTGTATTTTATTACTATATTAAACGTTTAACATACAAAATTAATAGTTTTATTCTCTAAAGACAAAACGCATATTTAACAAGTTAAATTCGTCGGGTAACTGAAATTAACTTAAATTTTAACTAAGACTTCTTATAATTTATTTAAATACAAATAAATAATAAAAAGTACAGTCATTTTAATTAGAAACGAAAATCAACAATCAATGTTAAATTAAGATAAATAATTTCTATATAGTTTGTTGATAGTATCGATTTCATATGTCTTTATTCATCAATACTAAATTTAAAAGAAGCTAATGAGAATAATGACGCACTTTACAAGTGTAAAAAATTATGACGTGATTTAAATGTAATACATACAAAAGTTTATTTAAATTATTCAAACGTTTCAGCAAATATCAAACTTTTTGGTTAGCATTCACATTTTTCACAGATCAGTCCAAGGGGGTAATCACTTAATGTAATCGTGGGACAGAATCCTTGAAATCATTATGAAATTTATATGAAATTCCCATGTATAATCCAATAATTAAAAGTAAAAAAACTATCTTCAATTGTTAAGTAATCTCGAATACGAGGAAACACATAAAAAGCGAGGAAAATGTCGAAATTTAAATCCAATTCTGTAAATTCACGAAGAAGACAAATAAAATTCAGTATTAAATTAAATTAATAAGCATAGCTGTTATACGTTCAACGTTTGAAGAGAGTCTTTTTTTTCTTTGTTATCAATAATAAATTTATGTCCCTCGTACGCAGTAGCAATTTCTTTGACGATGAAATATGCGCCGTAGCTCGATAAATTATGGAAAAGTACGATTACACAATGCGAGTTTCTTTATTCATCATACACATTTATGGGTCTTTTAAAAATAAATTGAAGCACTTGTCGAATTCGTAAAGCATCAAATAATGTTAACAATAGCATTGTTCTAGTAAAACTTATATGAGAAGATTTGTTGATTAGTATATATATATTTACATATCTCACACTTAGATTCTTTATGTTATAATTTTCGTATGAAACAAATATAAATAGATCTTAATCGATGATATAATATATAGCCGATAAGAAAATGATGATTTTGACGTTTTGGTTTGTTGGGCGGAACCGTGGATTCCGTTCGTACTCTTCCAAATATCGATCCGTCAAAGGCAGCTTCTAGCGACCTCACGTAACTACTACCTACCCTCTCGTTGCGATGAAACACGAAGTTGGTATCTTTGAGTCCCTTCCTCTTCCTAGCTTCATAATTCAAAGGTTCGTTCTTATTAAGTGCTTATGGAAGACACTTTGAAACTTTAAATGAATCATTTGGTTATATTGTCGCCATCTGAAGAATTACCCTTAAGACAATATCAAATTAAAAATCATATTTTTCTTTAAGAAGTATTTATAATTATATACAATACTTACTACTTCGTTAGAGCTATCAAGATCTATCATTACATGAGTACAACAAGAATTCTCGTATCATTTCAAGTAACATTTCCGAAATTATCATATTTGTTTTTCTCGTCTTGTCTCGTCTTGAAAAAGTCGGAGAAATATCTAGATAATGTGCTGCTTGATTATTAAATGAATATCTCAAATAAATAACATGAGATAAAAATCGATATTCTTGAATGTCTCGGTATAAGATTCGAGAATCTCGAGAAGCGAGTCTAGGCGAGAAAATTTTATTAATCACTTGTTTTTGTCGAGAATATATCTCGATATCAGTATTGAACAGTATTGAATATCACTATACCGATCCGGTATTTTGTTTCTTAATAAATACGTATGGGAGGCTACAAAAACTTCTCTTGTTTAACTCGTTCTGTTCTTTACCCTGATTCTGTGTTTGCTAATTGTACTGTTTATATCCCCTTAATGTATCCATTTCATTGCAAGGTTTCATGTGATTGAGTTTTGTCTGCAGGTTTCTTTTTTATCTTAAAATATACTTAATGCTTTATACACAAATAAGTGGATTACCGCCTGTTTTTGTACTGAATGGTGTGATTCATGGTTGGCTTTCTGTATATTTAAAATGACCCCCAGAGTATCAGCCTTTTTTGAAATAAGAACATCTAGGAAGGGGAACAGTTCATTCTCTTTTATGTTCATGGTAAATCGGATACTGGGATGTTAAAGTACTAAAAGCATAAAGTTCTCCAATTAAAGCAAAAGTGGAGTGAGAATTACACGTTCGCATGCGTTGCTATATATACTTAATGAAAAATCTATTCAGCGAATATTTAGTGAGTGTAAAGCACGTTGAATTGAATAAAAAATAAATCCAACACACTAGCTTCCTATTAATTTATTGTTGGTATACTTAGTAAAGAAAATTTTAATGTTTCTAATTTTTTATTTTAGTCAATCGTCACGAAGGAGCAACAAACGGTGCAATCGTTGGTAACCGAATCGGGTAATTATAAATGCTTTTAAAAACATATATATTTAAGGTATCTGATAATTTCTAATGCAACTATTTCGCGTATATATTATTATTCATTTAATTCTTTCTTGATTTAATGCGTGTGAAATATCGTTCATTCTTATGAATATAACTTCATTAAGAATAAATTTATAATAAATTATCGTCACGCATAAGGAGGGTCCTAAAGGAGGGAGTCTAAAACCTTAAAAAATTATCGAAAATTTTTTTTCATTTTCTGATAGTAAAACAGTAAAGTATTAGGTTTTAAAATTCGAAAAATTGACGAATATATAAGCGATTTAGTAAGTAGCCGTTAGGTAAGGGATCCACGCTCAGTGCAGACTCCAGCAAGGACCCTAAACGTCCAACAAAAGAAACAGGGTTTCTTATATATACAATAAAATTTTTTACATATACAATAAACTTAAATATGTGTGTATCTATTTAAACACAACGGCTATAACGATTAGAATCTCAGTGATCTTTCAAATTTAATTCTTTCTGGAACATTGGCTTGAACGGACGTATTTAATATATACCGTGGAAAGAAAGCATAGAAGAGGAATTCTTCTTGGAATGGTTCTTGGAAAAAGCAGGGTTTCAGTTCTTTATTTGGCTATTGTTAGTCATGTACTTTTTGGAAAAATAAGAAAGGTATCGAAGAGAAAGAGATTACGAAAATTGGACTGAAAATCATAAAAATGAATGACATGTTAATCATTCTGAATCCTCTGGTAAAATGGATGTAGACGCAATAAACGAAATGTTTTCAAGATCAGAGGAGAAATTTGGAGTCAAATATATAATTTACATTGGTGATGGTAACTCTAAAACTTTTAAAGCAACTTTAAATCTCAATCCTTACTAAGGAAAATTAGTAAAAGAGAATGAGTGCGTTGGCCACGTACAGAAAAAAATGGGTTCACGCCTTCGAAACGAAAAGAAAGTGGAAAAATTAGGAGGCAAAGGAAAATTAACCGATTCTTTAATAAAAGATTTAACAATTTAGTATGGTTTAGCTATCTGACAAAATTCGCATTCCGTAGATGAAATGAGAAAGAAACAATATGAGCTATATTTTACCATAAGTGCTCTATAAATGAGAAACCACAGCATATGTACACATATGAAGAAAGAGTTTGGTAATAACTATCAAATGTTTAGTCAAATAATGCTAATTAAATATTTGGTTAATATAATTAACCATAATTAACCATAAACATAATTTTACCTTTACAAATATTTAATAAGTATTACCATATTGATAATACCATTTGGTAATATTTATTAAATGTTTGTAAAGGTAAAATTATGTTTAATTATATTAACCAAAAACATTTAATTGGCATTATTTCACTAAATATTTGTATAGCTATTATCAAACTCTTTTTTCAGTGTACTGTCCACCGGGAGCGGACAGCTGGTGCAAATGGCGTCGCGCTGAAGCCGCTAATAATCTTTCAGAATTTAATCACGATCCATCACTTCATGTAGATGTCCAAAAGGCAATAAAATCTAACTATGAAGATCTGTTATCAGAAAAATTGGCCCAAAGTGATCGAATCTTGTGCATATTTGGCTGTGAGAGTCTTTAATGAGAGTTACGTAATAATTCTGAAAGTTATAGAGACAATGAACATAATTATTGATCAACAATGTTTGCGGATTACGCAGCCAAACAGCAACTCGCACGAGCAGAAATAAAGATCGCTGAAATTACAAAAAGAAGTTTTATTGCTGACCAAAGCAACGTAGAAGCAAAAGAACTTTTTTGAGGAAGTAGAAGATATATTTTATGGACCAGGAATAGCAGATTAACCAGAAATTAACTGTAAGTATATAAAACTGTGTGTATAAATAAGTATCTAAAACTTTAAATGTGTTTTTCACGAAATCGTATTTTTTTCAAATCCGTTGACATAATACAAAAACTAATAATCGTTGACATAATACAAAAACTAATAATCGGATTGGCTTTAACTTTCAGGTAATTCAAAATAACTGTTATATTTTTTGTGTAAATCTATAAAATTAATAAAATGTTAATAATAAACTATTTTTTTTTTATAAAAAAAACGTGTTGAAAAAATAATTAAAAAATCAAACTTTTTCTTTAAATATTAGTTTTACTTAAAAAAATTTTGTAATTTTTTACCTAAAGCGAAGTTTACATAGAAGAGGCATTAATAACCTACGAAAATGTACCTTATTTTTTGTTTCAGATCGTTTGGCTTTACATTCTACAATGTCAACAGCAAATTATAATTACACGAAACGCCTCGTACAATATGAAGAATATCTCGGACAAATTTTAATAAAATCATTTGGCAAAATTTGTAATAAACTAATAAATAAAAATACCCCAAAATTTAAAGTTTATTTTAGGAGTCATAGTTAAAAAAAATTCTTAAAGTCCTATTTCTTAGCGCTGTAGACTAGGATCCCTCCATAATTGCAAGACTTTCAAAAGTTATCTCCTTTAGTTATTAGTATAGTAATTTTTCAATTCGCTTAATTTTATGTAATACATTTCTCTTGGAGGCTTACCCCATCAAAGTCGCAGTGATCCAAGCGATGATAAAAGTAGCGGTGAAACATTGCCTAGAAAATCGTCTATCAACCTGCAAACCTTGCTAAAGGGTGCATCTTGCTCTTCAAATTATCGGAGATCATCGTCTCAAATCAGAACATTTGATCCAAATGGACGGCATCAACATGAATCTTTACATGCCGCTTCTTCGTATCCACCTGGTAGAAGCTCGAGGTCAGTACAAAAAATACAAAATAGAAAATATAAAAATTTAAAACAATATAAAAATTCACCAGAAAAGACATTAAAAATACAATAAAAAGACGTCAAGTATATTTTGCAATATCTTTACGCAAATCCGTTTCGTAAATGTATTTTAAAACGTAATAAAAAGAATCAAAAATAATATCACATGAAAGAAAAAATGAAATTAAAATGCAATATATTTTTACACAAACATACCAAAACAAAAATGTTCAAAAGCACAACGAAAAAAATAATTCCGTGAAAAAAAGTAAAATTAAAATAATGTTTAAAGAATTAATGCTTAATGTTAATGTTTATTAATGTTTAAGAATTTATGCTTAATGAGAGTAAAATCGCCGTTAGTGTTGCGAACATATAAAAAATATATTATAGTACATAAAATCACGATAAAATTAATACAATACTGTACGTTTCGGCTTGCCGTAATTTATCAACTTTATATGTCGTCATCTTAATTGATAATAATTATTTACGTAATTTTTATTTAAATTACAAATACCTAAAATCTAAAATTGCCTAGTATATTGTATTTATAATATTCTGGTAAAAAATTCTATTTATTTGAATAAATAACACAATTTATTTATTATAATTAATAAAACTTTCTATATACCTATACTCCTATACTATATTTTTATAGAATTTGTTACATTCATTTCTATTTCTAAATTCTTGAACCATTTGGTAGATAAAGATTTTTCTAGGCTATGTAATATATAATGTAATGTTACAATATTGTATAATTTATTGTTTCTATATTTCTTCTTTTTTTATATAATACATGGATGTATATGTGGTTTGGAAATTTTTTACAGATCTCCTTCGCCAGCCCGTGCTGCGTCCTTGGATGCACGTTGTGCAAGTTCTGTCAGTTATACGGGCAACCTGCTAAGTGGAAATGCCTCACCTGCACAGACCTCTTCATCCGTAGCAACGGGTATAAGTTCCACTTACGGATCTTCACAGAAAAATGCCGTTCAAGGTACTTCCAAACAGACCAGACGTTGCTTATCGCCCCTTCTCATCCCATCGTCCCCACATGTTTGTATAAGGTAATATTTTGAATTCTTTATAAAAAGTGAATAACGTTATTTCTGCATAAAGAAATATATAATATTCAGATAAAAATACGACAAAAATATGAACGACTTATAATTATCTTTCTGTAAATAAATTTCTAAATAAATATTCTAATAATATTAGCTTTCAAAATTTTTATGTGTAATATTATTATGATTTATGACGCATTGATTAGGAATAAGAGATCGCACGGATTTGTGCTATCAAAATAAATGAAAATTATTAAAATTTTATTGAACTTTTATTAATATTTAAAACACAAGATAATGTCATAAAGCTAATTATTTCTGTAGCAGCGACGTTAGTCCTATGCCGCCTGCTTCTCCGCTTGGTTCTTTACAACCGGATCTTTATCAAAAACGTCCTGTCTTTCTTTGCGCTGCTGTCAGGTACATAATAAAACTTTGCTTATAAAATATTGCTGATGATATTAAACTGACGTCTTCTGTTACGTAAAAAAGAAAAAAATCGATTTTTGTGTGATCGCAGGCCAGCAAAGCATTTGGGCAGGCTTCATTTGCGTTTGAGATATGACTTTGATAAATCAGATTTAGACGTGTATTTGATCGAGGCACACAATCTCACAAGCAGCGACGAGGGTGGTTTTAAAGATCCCTACGTTAGGGTGACTCTTATCCCGGAAGTGGACAACAGGAAAAGACAAACACGAACGTATCGAAATAATCCAAATCCGGTTTTTGATCAGCATTTCAAATTCCCCGTTAGCTACGAAGAAATGCAGGAGAAGATTCTAATTTTGAAGGCAATTACATTAAACATCGTATAAGAATGATTTATAGAATAGAATATTCTCCAATTTATTTGAAATCTGAAATAACATATAACTATGTGATTAGGTACTTGATAACGATCGTTTTTCAAGAAACGATAATGTGGGTTCGGTAAAATTAGCCATGGATACCCTCGAATTACCATCTACTTCCTCGCTAGAAGTTTGGGGTGAAATAACGAGTGAAGAAAAACCACCAGAAGAAATTCAAGAGATTTTTGTTGCATTATCTTACTTACCGAGTGCTGAGAGACTCACGGTTCTCATAATGAAAGCTAGAAATCTGTTTCCTGTACAGGTAGAATATATACAATAATAAAATTATATAATTACATCAATAAAATTAATAGATTCCTTTTTTCTTCAATTATGCATCACTTTTTAAAAAACGTGACCTTTTTACTTGGTTTTGACTAATAGAAATGTTTCGATAAATCTCCAACTATAAGCACAATGATTGTTAAAAAAAATTATTTATATTAGAGAACAAAGAGATATGCATAATTTTTGTACAAAAAAATAAATATTTTGACATAATAATAGTTATATTACATAACGATGTATGGTATAATAAAATTATTTTACATAGTATACAAGTTATTTCGATTTAAAGTTTGACAGGAGAGCATCACCTTTTCTCAGTTTCGGTCCTCTGGTATAGTCAACTTCCAACTATCACATTAACGATTGATATGTAACATGTTTTAATCTGATTATAATATTTGGCATACGTAAAATATAAATAATAAAAATACAAAAATCTAAATTTATAGAATTATAAAATATTTGCTAAAATTATAAAACGTTTAATATAAAGGAGAATGTTAAAAAGAAGCCAATTTTTGCCTAGAAAGGTATAAGTAAAAAGAATAGTATTCTTTTTTTTATAGATATTAACTTTCTGAATACGATAATGTTATGAAAAGTTTACACTGCGTTTTTTTCATTATACTAATTGATTTATCCCATTATTCTGTGAATAAAGTATAAAATATCTTGTAAAATTGATTTTTTGATATTTCTACTTTAATACTTTTATATGCAGAATAATTATAGAAATTGTGCTGTGCAAAAAAAATTCATTTTAAGAAATAGATGTAACATTTACATCTTTTTGGCGCCTGCATTATTTAAAAGGCAAACAACATGACTAAAATACATCTCCCTTATTCCATTTTCATCTGAAACATTTTTTCTATCATAAAAACCATGCAAGATATTTCAAATACTCAAGTTAGGTAGGACACCTTGCATATCGTCAAATTATTTAGTAATTATTTTAAATAATAAGCGCTTTAAATATGTGACGCAGGACAGAGAAACATTGGATCCGTTTGCGAAAGTTAGTCTTCTCTGTGGACAAAGAAAAATAAGAAAGAAAAAGAAAACAGCTGTTAGAAAGGCTACGGCACATCCTGTTTGGAATGAAGCAATGTCATTCGATGTACCTGCCTCATTAATTGAAACGTCGGCTATAGAGGTATATATTTAACAGTCGATATATTTTTTAATACATAATTAGCAAATAAACACATAAGTCAAATGAAATAAAAAAAATTAATTTATACATAATTATGTCTATGTAAGATATGCGTGATGGACTCGAGCAGTGAATTCGGCGGAAACGCTATCATTGGATCCTGCATCATTGGGCCGGTTACAAGTGTGGATAGAGGTAACAGTCAAGGACGAGAACATTGGCTTCAAATGACGCAGTCTCCGAGGAAGCAAATTGCCGAGTGGCACACGCTACGCTAGTTTGATCATCGTTGCGATCTAACCGTTATTTGATTGCCCGAATAAATTCACGTCCTTCATCGAAGGAATTACAATCTATATCGTCATGTTACGTCACATAACAAAGATCGATAACGTATGAAAATTATAGCGATTGTATGTAAAACGGCAAAAAAAAAATATGTATTTCCCGTGTCTTAACAAATATATATAAAAAAAAAAAGAAACAGAATTTCATGACGCGTCCAGAAATCGTTCTTCTGCGTATTATAGATATATTGATGACTATTAAAGATCCATAACATTTCGTCGTATTTTGAATGTCGATGTTCATAAGAAGAAAAGAAAATAATATTCATATAAATAATCTATATCCATATAACAGAGATTAAAACAAGCACTATACTTCTATTTTTATTCATTGCACAACAATTTGATCTATACGCGCAGTCCAACTGCGCATTTCTTAATTTTGGATACCTAAACGATTTAGAGACGTATTTTTGAAATATTTATGTGTTATAATAGAAATTCTTTGCGAAGTGACAATGAAGAAAACGTGATTCAAACTGCGAAGCAAAAGCAGAGACAAATTTCGCGTTTCACTTAACAAATCAATAATTAAATGTACAAACTATTATATTTATAAAATAAGATACGAGACAGTTACCAGGCCTAAATACGCTTATTAAATCTGTGAAACTGTCTTAAGAATCTACCTTTCTCTCAGGTATATCTCACATTTTTCTCATTATTATACCTCTACTTCTTCCCTTATCTTCTAAAAGAAAAAGAAAAGAATTACATGGAAAAGGGGTATCCAAATTCTGTCATTGTATGACAAATATGGTGTAGAAGAATATTTAAAGTATTCCGGCCGTGTGTCTATATAGCTTACTGGCTGATCGATAAAGCCTAATATCCCTGCGAATAAAGCATGCTAATATCATAATAGCATATTGATTGTCGTTATTAATGTATATTTTATCGAGTGTATAATTCATATGCTAATTGGAACATATAATGTGTGTTAAAGAAGAAAACGTAAAACGTCTTTCGTTTAATGTTTAATATCAAACATGATTAACCCGACAAACGTGATTGATTTGTCATCCGCAGAAACCTTTTTTTTAACGAAGCTTAACAAACAAGCTGACGTTATTTGTCATTTTGATGTCAAATGACGTTAAAACATTATTTTGATATCAAAATGACAACGAATAACGTCAGCTTGTTTGGCGAGTGTGTCTACATTGCAAATAGACGCACACAGTTATTTTTCTACTAAGCTATAAAAAATTAAGTCTGATTTTTACACGAATCAAATTACAAATATGAAAAAGTATCCGACCAATACTCGTTATATCTATCATATTAAGAATTTGTGCTTTTCTTTCAAATTAATTTCTTTTCATTTTAAATATCGAGAAACAATAAACCTGCTGATTACCAAAGGGTTTAATCATATACGTATATGCACGGTTGTTGTATATCGGCTACGTTTAAGTGTCTACAATTTGTCAATCGAATTGCATTGTAATGACCAATTGTTGGAAAAAAGAATTAAATGTTAATGAATACTAAGTATATCTAAAGTAAATATTATAATAAATAAATATATGTATGTATACACATATGTAATGTGAAGAAAAAAAATCTCTAAAGATTTAGATGTGATGAAATGTTTCCATCTCTCTCACATGGAAGCGCAGTTCGAATTGTACGCTTAACTTATATACATATAAATAATGGTAAATGTTCATTTTGGTGGACGCTCCTCCGATGACCTTGACTTCGATATATACATATATTGTTAAGATCATGATCCCGAGTAATCTTCAACAGATTTTAACTATCGCTCGTTGTCCGTTAAAAAGTTATTAAAAAATGTCTTATTTTTATCACAATATTTAGGACTATTCCACATTCTTCCCCTCTGTGTTACGTAATGACTTTTCTACGAGAAGTGAGATCCACCCCGCGTGAAATCATTACATAAGCAAAGATGTACAATAGTCGGATAATTCTGAATATTGTATGCGACAGAAAAAATAAGATGCTATTTCTTTTTTATTAATAATATTTTATTGAACAAACGAATATTGCTAAAACCTATAGTGTTTTTTCGTTATCCAGCTAGAAGCAACCACGAGACTATCTTCGTTATCTGATCTCTGAAGACGAAGATAATCTTAGCCGCGATTGCTTTTGGTTGCATAACGAAAAAACGTCCCTAATGTTAGAGGTCACTCAGGATCTTGGCAATGGAAGAACATTTACTAAAAAGTAAATATTTATCTAAATATTTACGATATTTCTATTCTCTTGTCATATATTAATAATATATTCTATATTATATATATTATATGTATACTATAAAAAATGTTATATCAATGAAACGTATATAGTAGAATTTATTTTAATCAAACAGAATTTCACACATACAGATTGGAACTGACTCGATATTTTATAATTTATAATTAAAACGTTTGAGACTTGGTTAGTACTTTTAATTAAATCTGTAAAATATTTAATTATGTTCATTAAACATTTTGTTTACTAAACAGTTATATTAATGTAACTAAATAAATAAATAATTATTATTAAAAGTTCTTTTTAGTGTATTTATTTAGAAAAGTATTAATAAAATTATTATACGAAATTTTTTTCATAGAATTTATGATCTACAATTATGTGGATATATTAACAAAACTAATGTTCTGATTACGAATCATGAAAAATTACCGGCAAGATCAAATATTGAAAAAATGCACGTTTCAGACATTTTTTCACATTTGACATTGAAAATAATTTTGTCATCAATTATCATGGTCAGATTCGTTGTCAGTACACCAAAATACGGTAGTATAACAATTGATAGCAAGGTAATTTTCTTCGCCTTTCAACCCCCTTCAGGAATAAAAATATATTCTCTGTTCCCAGCGTTTCCTCATCCCGAAGTTAACAAGGACATGAAGAACTGACTTTATTTTTTTCATTTTTTTTTATTTTTCCAGAACTTTTTATACTTTAAAAAAACTTTTATATTTCTTCTTTTTTACGCTTTTATGTTTTATTTTTCAAAAATAAAAGACCGAGGATGAGCATTTCCTTATTTAATGGTTAAGAATTGTCATATTTGCCTTTCCGTTTAAGTGAGTAAACCTCCGCCTCAATAGATCACATGAATTATTGGAAAGTAATTCGTCATAATATAATAATTTGACTGTCCAATAATTCAATGTGATCTGTTGAGACGAAGGTTTAGTCATTTAGTTAAACAACGAAGAGACAAATATGACAATTCTCAACCATTAAATAGAGAAATGCTCACCTCGGTCTACAATAGAAGTTACTCTCCAATTGCAGATTATAAATTCAATTAACGACATCGATTATCTATTATACTGTTGAAGGTAAAAAGAAACCGAAATTCAAGTTTGTGTTAACATTACATGTAAAATTGTTTGAAAATATAATTAGATGAATTTGCACTATAATTACCGCGCTGTATTAATGCTCTCATTGCCCATACATCAAATTAATATTCATTTTAAACTTTCTCTTACACTAGAATACATATATTAATGTGTAATGAAATACGCGTATATTGTTTTAGTAAAAATAAAATTGTTTCTTCAATATAAATATAACAGAACAATATCAAAATGTGTATATTAAACTTAACAAAATAAATTTCTATGACACTGTATTTACTATACAACATATACATCTGATAGACTTTTATCATTCATACATTTGTACATTATATCATAATAAATAGTACCAGACTTTTACATATACACTTTTTTATCAAATGGCAATGTGTTTTGTATAAGTTATTAAAGCAAAACTACATTCTATAATTATAAAAATTTTGAACTAACATTTTTCGTTAACTTGTCTATTTCTACGATATCAACAAATTTTTCCGAGCCCTTCTGCTGAACAGAAAGGATTATGCTTGCTCCACTCTCATGCCATTTTGCTTTTAACAACACACAGCATCCTTTACCTGTCAAAAATTTTATTTTCGTTAGAAAAAATTATAATATAATTATAGCGACTTTTGCTTAATATTTAAGCAAAAGAAAAAAAGTAAATACCAAGTTCCCCTCGTTCATGAGCTGCTGCTAACTGATTAACAACACGTCTTTCTACTTCGTATTTGATAGAACGAGCACCATAATGGACATCGTACCCGTCTGCTAATACTGATAAGACCTCTCTATCCCATTTTAATTCAATCATATGTCTTTCTTTTGCGCGTATAGCCCATGCTTTTAATTCTCTAGCGACTAATTCTATCAACTCTGCCCGAGAAAATGGTAAAAAATACACAATTTCATTTATTCTTCCCAAAAACTCATCTCTCCGGAAATGATCTTTTAGTATTGGACGTACCTGTAAAATGATTTAATCATTTTATTATATAATTTTCTATGTTTTGAAATATGTTATATTTTTTTTCGTTTTACATACCACTTGATCTTTAAAATGACGAGATATCTCGATACGTTCTGGCTCTTGATTTTCATCAGTAGTATTAACTAACCTATGGTTTAATAATCTTTCAGCTTCTGCTCTGAGTTGCATTGCATGTTCTGCAATTTCTTCGCTTCCTAAATTTGATGTCATTATAAAAATGGCATTTTTACATTCGATTGTTTTACCTTTACCATCAGTTAGTCTTCCCTTAAAAGTAAATATTATTACATTATTGAATCCTTGAAATAGACTGATAAATAATTTAAATATTAAAAATAACCAACCTCATCAAAAAGTTGTAGCAAAACAGTCAAAACATCAGGATGCGCTTTATCAACTTCATCAAATAATACAACAGCAGATGGACATTTTTTTAAAAGTTTTGTCAGTTGTCCACCATCATCATGGCCCACGTAACTAAACAATAAGTTTAACATTCATTACTGTTATATTAAACTATATGTTATAATAAACATTACTGTTATATTAAGCGGTAATATAATACTCAAACATAAAACATTAAAAATGATTAAGCTAACTAAAATAAAAATAATTATACCCTGGTGGGGCTCCAATTAATTTTGCGACTTCGTGTTTTCCTTGATATTCAGACATATCCAACCGAATGAAACTATCTGATTTGTTTCTGTGAATATAAGCAGCTAATTGCTTGGCTAATTCTGTTTTGCCAATGCCTGACGAACCCAAAAAAAGAAATACTAATGGATGTTCCTCAT